CCTGTTCGGCTGTTTCACACATACACAAAACGGTGCTTAATCAGGAGAAAAAATCGGTTGAGGTAAGTCTCGTCCTCTTCAATTCGGGAAATCATTTCTGAAGCAAACAGTTTCCTCGAATCCTAATTTGTATTTGTCATTCCTGGATTAAGAATGGAAAGTACTTGGAGAGTGGCCTCTTATGTATTATTATTATTATTATTATTATTACTGTTATTTTTCAATTACACGTTCACGTTTATGTGTATTCGAAAATCTGTAATGAATCCAACATAACAATTACCTTATTTCACCACAGCCACCACCACCACCACCATCATCATCAAATACGTTCGCCTTTTTGTGAGGGGGCGAGATAAAGGAGGCCGGTGGTCAGAATAACCATATTTATTATACTGCGATATATGCTATATTTCCGGGACTGAGATTATGATTATTATTGTGATATTGGTAATGATACTCCTTAAAAATGACGACTGTCAGCTTGACAGGTTATTTGGATTATTCAACGACGCTTTTAAGAGGCACACACTACAGAGCACCTAATAACAGGAAGATCGTCACGGTCGCGTGCTCTACTAGTTTATACAAGCCGTACACTATTCGGCCAGTGTTTATGTAGAAGCATACTGACGTCCCGTTGGCGTGGAGTGTTGGATCCGCCGCTAGTTTACGTCTAGACAAATGTGTTAATGATAAATCTGTAACGAGGCGGATGTAGGCAGCCGTACCTGCTGTCTGGGTATACCAGTATTTGCCCGGGGGGGGGGGGGGGTAAAATGCGACCGGCGCGTAAGGCTNAGTATACACCATCGTCAGAATCCTTTCAAGTCTAACCAACTTCCTGCCAACATTCGAGACCGAGCCTTTCCGCACACGAAACAGTAGCGCTAACCATCCAATCAAGTCATTACAATGATGCAATTATGACCACTAATGACTTTAACACGTGCCCTCCTCTGATCTCTACAAAGTCCGTTGCGCATTTTAACGTGGACTCAGTAGAACTTAGATCTTGCAGTAAATGTACGGTAAGGCCTAATACTAGCTTAACAATTGGGAAACATACTTCTAATTTCAGCATTCTAGTATCGTATTTAATCAATGTCTGTTCACGCAGATCACGACTGACGCAAATGCACAGAAGAGAGATACTTTTCTTTAAGAAACACAACCAAAAACTTACACATCTCCTTCGTCCTTGCTTGTAACTGGTCACACCATCTGTCAACAATATCAGGAACTGCTTAAATACAGCCAAAATCGGCTCCGAATACACAGAAGGAAAAGCGAACAATCAACAGTACACAACTCGCGGCTAAAATACCTAACAAATGCTCAGAAAATTTGGAAGCGATAGTAACAAATACAAATAGCATTCACGACGAAATTACGAGCAGATTAAATCAGAAGAATTTTGGTAAAATATAGCTCATAATCTGTTGTCCCAACTTCAATGTAAAAGCACGATAATAAAACACATAAACTTAACTTTACATATACTTTAAATGGCTGAGAAATTTTGTCACTCGAAGTAAAGGAAGAAAGCAGACTGAATACGCGAACATGGAGCTGATGTAAGACGAGGAACGTCGTCATTTGTACCCTTCGCCCAATGTTACTACGAACGATCAAAGACGATAAGATTGACAAGACGTGTAGCACATATGGGATAGATGAGAAATGTATACAAACTGTAGCTTTAAAGACCTGATGGACAAACTATTTGGATGAACGATGGCATAAGAATGTTACATGGGTTAGAGATGTGAGAATAATATTAAAAGGATCTTAAAGAAGTATATTGAGAAGGTTTGGACTAGTTTGACCTGGCTCGGGACAGGGAGTAGCAGTGGTCTCGTGTGACGGGTTCCACAAAAATCGGGGAATTCCTTGGCCTGCTGAGCGACTGTTAGTTTCCGAAGAACGAAGTCTCACGCTGGAGATCGGGCCCAAGGAATTTCCGCGACAAACGTCCCCCCCCCCTTCAACTCAGAACGCATGTCATACTGGGTTTGTGGTTACAGAGAATTAAGCCATACGGAGCTTGTCCTACCCTTGGTGGCAAGTTCAGCTCCCCCATAACTGGCCACAATACAATATGGCTGGATCACATGACAGCACTGACACGAATTTTCGGTGTAAAGTTGGAATGATGTAAACATGATTACGGTCTAGTAATGCCATCCATAGCAATTGATATTCATTCTGAAGGACACTCAGTCGTCATTTATTTATCTCTAGTATAATCAACGAAGCTTCCATTGACTCAGACTACAAGTAAACAGCGCTGAATGACTGGATGTAGTAAATAATAAATCGTAAAGGGCGTGAAGGAAGTGGCCGCGGTATCATCCGGGCATGTGTCTGGAGGAGCCGAGGAAAATCACGAAACTTCTTAGTCAGGATGTGCTGGCCAAAATTTGACTCAGAGCCCTACCGAATATAAGTCAGAAGCATTACCGCTTGAGCTAACTTACTCGGTAAAATAGTTAACAGATTTATACAAAGATTTCTCATTTTGACTGTCACCAAAATCTTACTGACGGTTTGTCAGTGCATAAATTATGAAAACACTATTATATTGAGGACCAAGAATGGAACACCAGCTAATAAACAAAGCCTTTTCCGTTCATGCCTACGTCTTCAATGTGGACTCTTCCTATGAGGCTTACCAACTACGTATTGTATGCATTCTTTGTTTTCTCCCCCCGCATGCTACATGGCCCGTCCCTCTCATTCTTTACATGATGTAGAAATAGGCACATAAAATATGTTGGCGCTAGAACAAGTTTAGACAAAGTATACAGAACAGCATCTTTGTCATAACACATAGCTTCTATCTGGAATACAGATCAACAGACCATCAATGTAACCAACCAACCAATCATCAACCTAAACCAAACCAATGATACCAACGAACCATTCATTAAAGATGGTCTTATAGCTCAGGTGGATAGTCGCTGGCTACTCACCGTGGAGACACGGGATCAGTCCCAGGGTAGTCCACGTGAGATTTTGTTCGACAACGTAGCACGGGGACAAGTTTCTTTCCGAGAACTTAGGGGTTTCCTTGTCAATTGTCATTTCCTCAATACTCTATATTCACGTACCATCTGTGGCTGTTACAAGGCCCACTTGATGTCGAAGTATCAAGGGACTCAAACTCACACCACTTCTGCAATTAAAACTTACCATCCATAAAGGCAACCTCATCAAGAAACGAACGAAGCACTGCCAATTAACGGAACATGCAATAAATCATATCAACCAAAAATCTAACCCGCCATCCTGAGGCTACAAGGTTTTCCTTAAGCAGTTAAAGTTATTCGCCGATCTAGAGCATGAATTGTATGCGCCCGCTCGAGCACTGGGATCGTGGGTTCGAGACATGGATGTCTGTGTGTAGGTAGCGGCCTTCCGACGGGCTGATCTTCCGTCCAAGGAGCCCTACGGACTGTGTATAGGTATAAGAAACTGAAAAAGCGGCCAAGGTTCAACAAAAGGACTGCAAAGCCATAGACAGATAATTATAGGTATTCCCTGTCCTTCATGTAAACATATTAACAGCCCCGTCCTCTGGAAACGCACCACGGCTNGAAACTACGTTCAGCCTCTTCGAAAGAAACTGTACCTGCCTATATTCTTGTATCCTGAAAGAGCAAAAATCTATGTAAATTAATAGCTTTCCCACTTCCTGTAAAGCACTGACAAGTTTCTTTTACACGCTCACAATTTCAACAGACATTAAATTCGGCCCAAAACATCAATACATGCAACAGAATCATCATAGGATACCAAACCGAGAAACTTTACAAATTCTTATGTCGTTAGATTTCCTTGCTTCGTCTGTGGTAGGACAGATTTTAAAAAGGGTATACAACGTCAAATTAGTTCCACTGAAAAACAAAGATAAAAATATACAACTGATGTTTCAACCATTTATACGGCGAAGCAAATATAAATAATACTTCAGTGATGGTTCTTAGCTCCCAGAAAACACACCGCATGTCCTTTACAATGTCATTCGTTAATGTTTACAGAAATAATCACTTTTTGTTCTGAGGTATAAAATAACTCCACAAAAAAATCGTGGACGAAATGTAATATTATTTACGTTAAATTAAACGGCATACATAGTTACCACTCTCCCACAAAAGGTTATAAGTAATCACATATAGCCTCCTAACTGAAGCAAAATTAAATTATTCTTACGATCTGGTTACTTAACGACACTGTTTAACTGAAAGTCAAGCTGAGCTGGGAATATAATGACGAGTGGTTAACATATAAGAATTTGGACAGAAGGTGTCGTGGCATATTACAAAGTACTTTCTCGGCATTCTTGTAGAGGAACTTATGAAGATCATAACAGACTTAAGTCATGATAGACGATAACCCAACCGAAATTAAAAGTGGGTATCTCTCCAAAACAAAGCAGGAGCGTTAACTTTCACGGTTATGGGACAGACGGAGAGACAATACTGAACAGTACTGAGAACTGGTTCAAGCTGGTTCAGAATCATAGAGGTACTATAGAAACATTTGGTGATAGCCATGTTTTTCGCCAGAGTTCAGGTATAATTCTCAGGAACCTCAAAATGCACCATACCAACTGCTTGTTCTTTTAATACTGTTATAAAAAGAGGAATTATTCTGAAACCTGAGTGAATTTAACACTAAGGACTATGTTTTAGTCTGGTGTATATATGTAGTCTCATCCCCAGAATGCCACGTACAGATACAAACAAATCTCACCAAGAAGAATGCTGTCTTCTCGGATTTGGCGCCATGTAGATATTGCGCGAACCGACGTTTCGGAGGAATGCACTGCCTCCACACACAACATCTACACGGCGCCACATCCCAGAAGACGGCATTCTTCATAGTCACCGCAGTGAAAACCTCAAATCTTACAAATGTCGCCAAGTTCGCAAAACGAGTGTCGGAACGAGAAGGAAAACAAGCAACAAAAACTGCGATTATGTGCTCAACGACCTTCCTGTGCCGACCACAGCTTCAGAGCTGCAACTTCCAGAAGATAACCAGTTCTCACAAGGCAGAACGTGCGGTCACACTCCACCTTCCTGCAAGCCAGGAGGTAAGCTCAAACACAACTGCTCTCACACATCGGGTCACTTACTGATGTGTCTAGGCATCTGACGAGCAAGTCAATACTTTGCGGATTTTTAGAGGCAGGTAGGTTACCAGCTGTCACAATATTTAGCTTAGTGATTCATGTCTGTATCCAGCCAGCTAGATTATCATATGTGGGTATCTAGTAAGTAAACATTGTTTTTAATTCGCTTAGTGGGGGGAGTCCAACTGGGTCTACTCGGCACGGCGGCCACTGATTGGCCTATTGTAGCCTGCCCCGGGTGATTATGATGATGAAGAATTTGGTGCAATGAAGATTGGCAGGGGAAACCAAAGTACTCGGCGAAAACCCGCCTCAGCGCCACTTTGGCCACCACAAATCCCACTTGACCAGACCCGGGATCGAACCCGGGCCGCCGCGGTGGGATGCCAGCGACTACCCGCTTGAGCTATGGCGCGGCCAGACTATCTAGTAAGTAATTTAGATATGTGCCGGTCACGGTAGCCGAGCGGTCTAAGGCATGCACTGTCTTCGCTCGCTCAGAAGCCGGGATCGTGGGTTCGAATCCTACTCAGGGCATGGATGTTTGTGTGCGTTTTTCTGTGTTTGTCTACAGGTAGAGGCCTTGCGACGAGCTGATCGCTCGCCCAAGGAGTCCTATCGTATGTGTAAGATTTTGAAAAACTGAAGTGAACGGAGTTCATGGAGGTACGCCTAGGCCCACTGGGGCTGTAGTGCCATTGAAAAAAAAAATAGATATGTAGACAGCTAGCTGGTTACTTAGTGCAGTGAGTAAGCAGTTAGTTAATCGTGTAGTTAGGTAGTTAGTATAGTAGTTAATTACTGTGTAAAGAAATCATAAAGGTAGATAGCTCGTTAATTAGCTAATTAGTTAATTAGTACTACAGGGTACTCTTATGGTCAGCTGCGTATTCGTTGGCCTGAAACTAGAAAAAAAATAACTTTAAGGTGGAGACAGGTCTCTAGGCATACTTATGGTGGAATTGGCATTACCTTACATTTTAACGAATTGTGTAATACGCCAGCTTTCTGAGGTCACAGGTGATCACTGTGGTAAAACAGACACGTGACAGAAAGATGATAGCGTCAGGATCACCTGTTCCACTGTCCCATAATACGACAGAAGTTCCTTCCGTTATTTTCGTGCGATTACAAATGCATGTAATTAAAATAAGTACCGAGTGTTAAAAACCTGCTGTTGCACATGTGGGATATAACGGTCTATTATTACAACGAATATGCATTTCCGTTAGACATGCATGAATACTTTTGTAATATTGTGTTTTCATTACGTGTCGCTTCTTCCAACGATTATTTTTAGTTTTAACCATCGTTCAAAACATTTTATCGTGTTTGAACTCTGCTTTGTTATCCTGCATTGCATGTTCCCACACTTCTGGTGCTGGGTTCATGGGTACAAAGTAGGGTGGTGACAACCTTCCGATTGTGTGGGTTTTTAACTTCAGCTGTGTTGAAATGGATGGGAATGTGATGACTGGGGAAAAGCTAGGAATTTTGGAGGAAGAGATCTTGGCCTATTTCAAAGTACTGACCCAGCATTAGCCTGCAGATGCTGAAATAAACATCAGCCATGAAAAGAAACTGTGCAAGAATGGGTTCAGCCTCACCAGAAGACAGTGTACTCTGATACTATCAGAAAACATGTGGAACTGCGTTAAAACGTAGGGCAATTACGGAGGAACTGAAACATGCTATGACTATACATTTATGTTGCCAATTTATAGTTAGATTCACAGCGGGCGCATGATATTCTGCCGCCATAAGCGAGTTAACATTTTGGCACCAATCTTATCGTGCAAACGGACAGTATATGTTGCTGTAAGGCTTTATCCTAAATCGTGTCGCCTTAAGAACCCGCATTCGCGCCCCGCTGATAACATTGTTTCTTTTACTTATCTTCGTACAGCTACATACCAATGGCGTGGACACGTGACAAAAATTCTGGCCAACCGAACCGAATTATAAAATTACAACTCTTGGAACATACTTGAACTGGGAGGCGCGCAATACGAGGGAGGGTAACTGTTCACAAGCTCCATTGTTTAATTCCACAAACAGTATTAATAGTGGCTTCACTGTATGTCCCTTCGTGAGTAAACAGAGATCGAATTCAAGGTGAAAGTAATCACTGCCGATGTTATGCTGCAGTGAATGAAGAAGCACGTGTGTTACCATCTGTACCAAAAGTACAGCACAATTAAAGGAGCAACTGGCTGTGTGCTCCTGTGTTGTTACAGTCCTGGGATTGAGTATTCGAATCTTGTTCAGGGCACTGATTTTTATGCCTATTTTTTTTTTGTGTTGTCCGGCGAGGTAAGAGACTTTGTGATGGTCTGATTCTTCATTCAAGGAGTCATACAGTTTGTCTTAATAAGGAATTGGAAGGCTTGTACAAACAGAACAGGGCAGCCATTAAAGGACAAGAATGGGTAACACGCGATGTTGTCTTCACGTTCGTTTACTGCAGATAGAATCTACAATGTCAGAGATATCGTAAATAAAGGTAGTGTTCCACTGAGTCACGATTCTGTTATTAGAATTTTAAGTTCTCATAATTCTATTGTTGAAGAATCTTAACCCATCACAAAAAAGAAAAAAAAAGAGTAACGTTAAACACAATGAGGCACAAATTTATTTCTTGTGCTTCTTTAAAACGTCAGAACCGCTTCAAAGAAATGTATTTCGATCTTAAGCAGACTATATTTTATGTCCGTGCTGATGTTTGTGGGACAAACCGTTTTTGATAAATTTGATTCTTCTGAGCTTCACATAACGTCGACTGATCCATAAAATTCGATTCGTAACTCTGAAGATCAAAGGCGAGAGGTCAGATGGGAAAGGCCTTCCTATTATGCATTCATTTTAAGCCTTCGGCATAGACAGCAGAATATGTTTACACTGACCTTGGAACTTAGGAGCCGGTCAAACAAGACCGGCAACATGCTAAATAAACAAAAGAAAGAAGATGGTGGCAAAGAGGATGCAATTAAGTACTAAGAAGAAGACGACGATATGTCGTTAAGTGCAAACTAAAGGTTCTTGACAACCTTTCCGTGACCAACTGACAGGGTTGCAGTCAGCGGTGTACAGAGTCACTACGCTATGATTACTCCCAGTTCACGGCATGTTTGATTACGAGCCAAAACAGAAGTCTTAGAAAGTACGTTATTAGATTACGGTGACGCTACTTCAAGGAGATTATAAAGTTATCCCTATAACTGGCCATGGAGGCCCCTAGGATTGTTAGACGTCGGGGCTCCCCGTTTTCTAGACAATCGGCTCGCAAATGGCGGCGAGGTTGTCAGCCTTACACGCCGGCCACCCTTTACCTCTAGGAATCTTCCTGGTACTCATTTCTGTTAGGCCCCCCATACACACACAGTTTGGCCTTCCGATCGACCTTACAGGCAAAACTGTGACAGTTTACCCCCTCCCTTTCCTCCCCATACACGCGCAGATAAAGCGGCAGGCTTCATGCCACAATCACGGTCTTCCAGCCTATAATGTTGAGTCACACACGTCACGTGCTACGGTCCTGCAGGCAGAACTGACGGACTGACGGGTTTCCCACAGGCCAACAGTCCAAACGATTGGCCGGCCGGCCGCACCACACACGTCAGTTTTGCCTTTCAGTCTTCAACTGTGCAGGCCGAACTGGAGGCCAAACTGTGTGTGTATGGGGGCCCTTAGCCGCTAAGTCGACCCCAGGGCAATAGTGCGGCTGGAAGGATTAGGTCAATTTAAAAATCCAATGACCTCATAGAGATTCGAACCAGCGACCTTCTGGCTTGCAGCATAGTGCTTCAACGAACTACGCGCCCGCGTGCCCCTCAAGGAGATTATATATTATCGAATAAAATGGGAAGCTGCTGAATATGTACAGAAGTATAAAAGGGTGCTCAAGGCCCATATCAAGGTACCGCCCCAGCATTCACCTGGTGCAGTGGGGAAGAAATGTTTCCGCTTTGCAAGTGATCAAACTGATATTCGAATTCTGAATCTCTCTATTGCAAATTTAAAGTTCGGTCTCTCTTCGTTCTTCGTAGTTGTACGAATTTAAAGGATATTTACGACTGAACGAGGCCAAAGCAAACTCGATCTTCAGTACCAATGGAGATGACAACATAAACCAGCATTACAAACGGACTTCTCGTACTTAACTCGAGCGACAGGTTTCAGTGTACACATAGCATTCCATCCAACCCCGTTATGGAGTTAGGAGATGGAAAATCCGGACGGATAGACGGCACCAAAACAATGTAAACTTCAAAGACATGGTCCCGTTGTGACCATTCTACTTTGCTCTGCAATCCTGGTGGATTAAGATACACTTCAGAGCAGGTGCCAGGTTTCAGACCGGCAAGATACTGTGAAGATTTTTATACACATACCTTCTCCTTCTCTCACATTTAACAAAGTCTCTCTCTCTCTCTCTCTGCCTTGTTCAGTTTAACAACGCTTCTTCAATTACACATATCATCGAATGGAAGGATAACCGTGAATAACAGACTGCGAGGTTCCGTACATAGGAAGGCTCTTATAGTCAGGAGAGTGCTGATATCAACTGGTAATTGCTCCAAGTTTTTACTTAACCACACGGATTGGTACATACGTAAACAAAGATTATTATTAACAAATATTTTAACTAAAGGCCCTAGTCTTTTAACTGTTTTATAATATGGTGAACTAAAATAGCATTTTACCTAGATGAACACCCCCAAAGGCAGCGAAATATCAGCCGACACTGATCGGGTGGTTAATAAATAAATAAATAAATATTAAAATCAAAATGATTCTAATAATTGTGTTACATACTACTGAATAAATACATATAGACTAGTGTATATATATTGTGAGCCGGGATAGCGTAGTCGGTATAGCGACTAGCTACGGGTTGGACGACCAAGAGGTCGGAGTTCGAGTACCGGTAGGGTAAAGAATTTTCTCTTCTCCACGTCGTCCAGCCATGCTCGGGTTCACCCAACCTCCTATCCAATGGGTACCAGGGGCTCTCTCCCCGGGGGTAAAGCGGCCGGGGCATGAAGATGACCACTCACCTCCAACTAGTGCTGAGGTCAAGAAAATGTGGATGTATACACACACTCCCCCATACGCCTTCATGCTGTAGTGCTTAATTAGTTAAGCGCACAGACTTTACCTTTTACCTTGTAATTCCAACATTTGCCTGGAGAGATTAAAGAAAATTTTGAAAAAAGGACAGCCAACCTCGAGACCAAGAATCGAATACAGGGCGCACCACTAATACTGAGCACAATGTATTCGAGCGGTAATGAGTCCAATTCGTATCTGGGAAGTGAGAGGTTCTGAAGCTATTCGTGTTTTTCCTTTAGTTTCTTCAGGCATATGCGAAGATAGCATCTCACTGTGAAATATGGGCAGTTTATAGGCAACGACTAGGCATTCACTGCCTAAAATGCCAGAATAGCAACCAAAAAGCGGAAGTCCATTGCTAGGCAACACATCCCCGCAACAATAGTACGTCTACTGCTAAGCAACCGAGGGGTAAACAAGCTTCATCAGCAAGAGGCCGTGTTTTCTGTGTGGTCCTTGCGGAGAATATATAATTACAGCCTGTAGCGAGGATTAGATCACCGTCCTCTCATCAGAGAGGGCGCCCCACAAAAACAAGACCATAAATGCCAAACAGTAACAAATATCTGGTCATGAGCCCCAGCCGGGGCTCGACAGCAAGACAGGCAGACTGACGGACCGTCAGTCGCAATATGACTTGGACTTGAATTAGATCAGAGTTGAGTTGAGAGTTCAGTTCTGTACGGGAGGCTGTGAAGAAAAGAGTTAGTTGTAAGAGTGCGGCTGTGAAGAGAAGTCTTCCTATGTAATTCAGTGAGACTGCTGTAGTTCCTGTGTTTTAATTCCGTTACCAGGAGACGATTAGTGTGTGTGCGTGTGTGTGTGTGTGTGTAAAACAGTGAATTATAAAGTACAGAAATAGCGATAGCGCTACAATTAAGTGCAAATGCTGATTATGTGTATAAGGAGCAAATAAATCCATTCATCCAATCCAGAACCGGCGTTACTAGACACAAAAAGACGTGATATTATATTAGGCCACGACCGCTTTATTCCACATCCTTTCCGATTCATTATTCAGTAATCATCCAATCATTCAATGATGCAGTCTCCGTTACTGACAGCGTCTTTGAACTGCTGACAGATAATCACTAAACCGCGACGTTCAAGGTACTGGGAAATTCAAAACGATGCAATCAGTTCCCACCGCCAACAGAACTCCTATTTTGCCACACAAAATCTCATCTTTATTACGATCCTATATATGTATATCCGGTGGAAGATGGGAACTGCTCTTACTGGATGTTGCAGTCTTACATGTGGAAGACGGTACGAGGAGGCATAAGCCACAAAACAAACCCAGAGCTTCGCTATCGCCTGACAAAGAACCGGACGCAGTGTCACACATGCGAGGTTACTTTAATAGATATAAATAAACAAAGAAACAAATAAAAAATGACGAATGTAACAGTTTTCCTTAAGCTGATGACGTTACGCGATCTGTTTACATACGCCCTCCCACAATGTACGCATGCGTACAGCTAATGTTAAAATGGACAGAAGTAACGTCAGACAGTTGCACAGTTACATGCCAGCTTAATGGCGAGTAATCTGTAACTTGTAATCGTGTCATATTAAAGGAGTGATTCTCGAGGTTGTTGTTATATCAAGTTTATCAAATACAGAGGCACATGAAAGGAGAGTAGGTAAATATCTGAAACGAAAATGTCGTGGATTACTTCAAAATTTTATCCTTGCATTATACTGAAGAACACTACCTCGAAATTCCTGTCAGGAAAACCGAACTGACTCGTGATGTCGTAGTTTTCTTCCATCCTAACACGCGAACGCAGGAACAGCCCACCCCTTCCCCCTGAAATTGGCCACAACCTGTTCCACTCCATTACTTTCCTACGTATAAAATCGTCTATTCTGTGCCAAGTAACTTCTGAAGTTGACAAACCGTACCTAAATATACAATGAACCAACGAGCGATGCATGGGGGGGGGGNAGCAGTGCTACATCCATTACATGTGTGTATAATTGTGCTTTTATTTGCAGAAATGCATTGGTCGAAGTTCGCCGGTCGATACCGACCTTTCCTTGTAATGATAATGATGGTGGTAACTCCGACAACTGGCTTTCCTCCTCCGACTTCTGAACCAACCACATGGCCTCCAGAGTAAGTACTATATTCTAATCAACCGAAATAGCAACCAAATATCTATATAACGGCTACACTAGTAAGGGCCGCGCCATAGCTCAAGCTGTTAGTCGCTGGCTTCCCACCGCGGCGGCCAGGGTTCGATCCTGGGTCTGATCAAGTGGGATTTGTGGTGGACAAAGTGGCGCTCGGGCGGGTTTTCTCAAAGTACTTCGGTTTCCTCTGCCAATCTTCATTCCACCAAATTCTCCATCATCATCATAATCACCCGGGGCAGGTAAAACAGGCCAATAAGTAGACGACGTGCCGAGAGGACCCAGCTGGACTCCACCCCCCACTATGCGAATTAAAAAAAAATTACTCGAACGGCTGATCGGGGACAATATGCTACAGGTAAGTGTTTTCCCGATTTCTTTTACAGTACGGTAAAATAATTTTCGTTAAGATACAATGATCAGAGGGCACGCAAGAGCGGAATTTTTGGGAGACAGTATATGTGATTTGTAAAGCGTAAGTACATCAGCTATACAAGAGGACGACTGTACGAGTTTCGACAGTTTTTGCTAGCGCATGCTGTAATAGATACAGTTCTTAATTTCGCGAAAATCGGCGAGGTCTGTAGGGAAAATATTTTAAAAGACGTAACTACGTATTTCATAGATACCCATACCACCATGTGTCTAAACCCTTAAATGATGTGGCCCCGAAAATGAAAGTGAACCAGACTTGCATGTGCTATTGCTCGTACAATAAATATGTCGTAGACTTAACAGTTTCGTTAAAATCTGCCCAAGAACTCAAAAGATAAGTAATGGATCCGTAAGTTTTTTTTATTTTTTTTTAAGTAACTGCATATTTACAATCTGCTCTCTTATTTGTGGAGCATTAAGTAAATCTGTGGGTGAGTGGCATGAGTGGAGCATTCATCCTCTGATGAATCCCCTATCAGTCTTGTTGATGGTTGATATTGTTTTCCGTGTCTTCAGCGGTTTCGGGGAGGTCAGTAGGCCATTGCCGTTTTAGTCGCCTTGGCACCTTTGGCGGAGTATTCAGGGCCGCTATGAGTTTGTTGCTATGTCCATCTAGCCGTGCGCTGTATAGTCTCGACAGTCTGCGAATCTCGTCACTGACGAAAGGAGTTTGGAGGTCGTTGTGAAGAGATAGGTTGGACACATACCAGGGTGCATCTGCGACTGCTCGTAGGATTTTTGACTGTATTCTCTGTATGATTTTTGTATGTGACGGTTTAGCACAACCCCACAGCTGGATCCCATAGGTCCATATTGATTTAATGATGCATTTGTGGCCCTTATAAAACGAACGAAAATTACACGGGCCTATATTCACGTAACAGATTTGCCGTATGAAATACGAAGTTTTATCATAATCCGTAACATGACTCCAAATATACTGAATACATAAAAGTCAATTCAGTTACTTGATATGGTGGTCCATAAAATGAGCCAAAATCAACACGGCTCTGTAACATATCAGGCAGTTCAACATACTGAACATGACTGAAGTCCGCCTTGTAGTTTTTGGCGCTCTTGCTTGCGGACGGAAAGACAGATATCCAGGCATGAAAAATAATATCAGCTCTTCGAACTCTCTTCCGAAATTCACCATAAAGTGATGAGCTGTACAGCTGTAACTAGGGACTTGTTTATCGTAACGGCAAAGCAGGAAATAACGATAGAATTACGTAATCGGCGAAGACTATAAAAAGAATCAAGACTAAATCGGGATATCCCTGCGGCAGTTAAATCCAGTACACACATTCGCAACTTCCTTCTCTAAGATGAATATTTTCATAACGCTTTCCATTTAAAATTCTGACCGTATATGCTGCCCCGACCCGGTCACGGTAGCCGAGCGGTTTAAGGCATGTACTGTCTTCACTCGCTTGGAATCCGGGATCGTGGGTTCGAATCCCACTCAGGGCATGGATGTTTAATTTGTGTGTGTGAGTTTTTCTGTGTTTGTGTACAGGTAGAGGCCTTGCGACGAGCTGATCACTCGCCCAAGGAGTCCTACGGTATGTGTAAGAAGTTCATGGAGGTAGGTCTAGGCCCACTGGGGCTGTAGTACCAAGGAAAAAAAATATGCCACTTCGTCCATGTGTACTAATGCACAGCTGATGCACCTCAGGTATTACGTGACCGGGTATAAGGGCGGAAGTTGCATTGAAGCAGGTTTTATATGAATACTTCGGTTTCTCCTACAAATTATGCATCCACCAAGCATTCTACAGTCATTAATAATTCCGTCACTGACGCTATGTGCTCTCGATACAGATACAGGACCATCCCGCTCTGGAACCAACTACCTACAGATGCTGTAAACCAAGCAATTTTAGGAACGTGATAAATAAGGCGATGTGAATGTGTGGGGGAAATCATAACAAAATGCAGTGAAGGGAGGTGAGGTGAGGTGAGGTGAAGGAAATGAGAGTGCCTCAGCTCATGACGTTATGTATTTCATTACTGTTACCATTAGTGTATAGTATACTTATTTTTTAATATAATATATAATTGTAGTTGTAATAGTATTCGTTGCATTCATTGTGTGCAATGTGTTCTTTATTGTTGGTGTAGTTTTGTGTGCTGTTTGAGTGTGGTGTGTTATTTGTGTGTTGTCTTACTGTAGTACCAATGTCACCGGGTAAAAACCAATTTGCAGTTAAATAATAAAATTGAAAACAACGTCAAATAACAAACTAAAAAAGAAAAATTAGTAGAAACTTTTATTAGAATATATTTATGGCACATAAACCTCAAAAATAGGATAATACTTTCATGAGTTAGCTTTTGGATTCCATAACTGCAGAGAGTGTCTTTAAGAGCCCAGTAACTACAAACGATGTTACACCAACTGCAGAGATCATTAGATATCGATGCAAATGACTGAATGATTACGATGAATTACATGGAACTGCGGAAGAAAGTCATGTCACATTTCAGCACAGCATATTATCCTGCTATTATCCTGGAAAGAATGAGGAAAATTCCTAGAAATCTCACTGAGTTCCGATCAAGTGTCTTCCGATAACAGAATTATTTCCGCTTGATGTAGGTGTTGAAGCTTTTGGGGAGAATAAACGTGTTAAATTCTTTTGGGGCGATGAGCTGTGTCAATGTTGAGTTGAAACGAACGATTCAGAGACCTTTTCCATCTCCATTATCAGGGTCGGTATACTGAATGACCACACTGTAGACCCCTGTCAACATCACACAAGGTGTGCACGTTACGAGGAACATTCAATATAAAGACAGTTCACGCCCCTCATAAGAAGAGTTCCTACATACTAAGATCAGTGAAATATGACTTAGGACTAAAGTCTCAGATGTCTACAATATCCAATGCTAATGTGGGGGAAAAAAAATGTATATATATATATAGGACAGACAAGTCGAACCACTGTAAAGGTGTAGAGGAAATGGCCGACATTTATGTTTGTATCAGCCGGACAGGTCCGCAGTGGTAGAACACAGCACTGAATCGGACCATCGAATCAAGTTCCTAGTGACCGAAGTAACAGCGAAGACATTAGGCTACAAGGACCGACTTGTCAAAGTGGCGCTAGAAATAAAACTACATCCGAGAATATAAGTAGATAGGAAAGATTGAAGCATAGCAAAGCCTGGATTCCCAGCACCAGATTATTATGGTGCTCCAACGTGCATGTTATCAATAAAATCCCAAGAAGGCGAACACACTGAAGAGCATGTGCTACAAGGAAGACAAAATAACTGACAATAAGGATACCAGGTTAAATGACATGGTGATAGGTTAGCTTCTGCTGGGTGACCGCACAGTTTGACTCCGCCGTTCTGTTGCGTAGTACGCGAACAGAATGAGGCATCGATTTCAGAGACTATACACGTATATATCAGAGACATACAGACATTCGCTACATCGACCCTAATCATGGAGACGGGGTAAATCTCTGAAACGGTGGTTCTAACTCAACATTCACTTGGCTGATCGCCCGAGATTTTGGCATATTACCGTTCGAGATTAATTTTTTTTAATTCGCTTAGTGGGGGGTAGAGTCAAACTGGGTCCACTCGGCACGGAGCCACTGATTGGCTTATTGTAGCCTGCCCCGGGTGATTATGATGATGGAGAATTTGGCAGAATGAAGATTGGCAGGGGAAACCGAAGTATTCGGAGAAAACCCGCCTCAGCGCCACTTTGTCCACCACAAATCCCACTTGAGCAGACCCGGGATCGAAGCCGGGCCGCCGCGGTGGGAAGCCAGCGACTAACCGCTTGAGCTACGGCCCGGCCAACCTGCGACCGTTACTGCGACCGTCCCAACAGAAGGTATTAATGGTTTTCCTCAGTGCATCAAGGCGAAAGTCGGGGTGGTAATGTTGGGCAAGCCATGGCCACCTCTACTGCTAAAGCCTGTAGTACCGAATGGGTAAGAGGCTAAGTGGGCTCCAAAGCGACTGGGCACGTGGTAAAGATAAAAATGCAAAAGCCCCTACCGGAAATCTCACTCCAGCAGCCTGGCCGTCACAGGTTCCTGATCTGTAATTCATCTACACAAATATAACTCTACGTCCTTCAAGGAGAAGGGGAATCACAGCGGTCGCTCACACAAGAACTTGTAAGCAACAAACTCAAATTAGGATTTACACCGGCAACATTCTTCGGTCTGGAGAACACCTACATTTAAATGCAAGGCAAACAACTTCTTTATGCCTCTCTTTGCTGTTGATTCTGCCAACCATAGATTTGCATCTTCAATACAGGGACATCATTAGTTTAGTTCAGTTGGACTTCGTTACACATGTAGAACTGTGTCCACAAAACACCGTTTTTTGTGGTAAACAGAATCAGTATATACAAACATACAAACTACAATACATACAAACAAACAGTACGTACAAACAAATTAAACTCTTTACGATAGTTCACTTACTATTACTATCACTACTAAGACCGCCAGTAGTGAACCGTCGTTATTTCTGCTCTCATTCAATTTTCTCAGTTTATATTTTAGCTTCCGGCCAATCTCGGGGGGGAGGATATCATTATATAATAGGGACGCAATAAACCGAAGACTGCACGAATAACGTGCATTTTCCCCCTTTTGCCAATTTGCAGACGAGCTTAAATAAAATGATAGAGCTAGAAAAGTAAAGAAGATATATTTAATATCTCTAGTTATTAAATGAAAGGACACGGAAGCCTGACATGCACTGTTTCTCGCGAACACCTTTTAGATACACGGGAGATCGGAGACACATTGCCGAAACGTCAGCTAGAAAGCAGCTCTCCCGGGACGTCAGCCCCCGAATTATGTAATAATACTGATAACTTATTACCTAGACAACCACTAAAGTATACGTTTATAAATTGTGTTCACAGGCCAAACTGTATCGAAGGAACTGGTAACACCAGCGTTTGTGCTTGTGACCCTCAATGCGCACGGTATGGAGACTGTTGCCGCAGTTCCCAATACTTCGTGCCAGAAGAACAACGCCTGGGAGCCTCCCCCTTCAAGTGCACGACTCTTTCCAAAATTTCCTTGTATGCAATAATGACATGTCCTCCAGACTGGACGGACTCATACACTCGCAACCGTTGCGAAAATCCCGACACCAGTTACAGCGACCCACTGCTTGACGCACCGGTGACAAGCACGAGTACCAACATCACGTACCGCAACTGGCACTGCGCATATTGTCACCGTGATCTGGACGCTAACACTACTGGCATTTGGGCAGCTAAAATTCTGTGCCATATTGAACGTGGTATGCCATCTTTTTTTGTGTCTGAAGACACAATTATGAAATATTTATCATACGATACTCATACTTCACAGTGGAATTTTGATATCGACAAACATGACTTGGAAACCGACCCTGGCATACGTATTTTAATTGAACCTCAGATAGAGCAACGATATAAATACAAGTGTGACTTATTATTCATACCCGAACCAAATGAATTAAAAACAGCTCGGTTCTGCAGAACTGACATTATAGCCGAATGTTCTACGAACTGGAAGGGTACCGAGGAACACAGACAATGTAATGCATACACGGCTCACATATGTTCTGGCCGCAAAACATATCGAAACCACCATTGCTTTCTTTGCAACAACTTCACTACTCTACAGCAATGCGGAACTTACGCTGAGTACCCCACTGCACCAACACTGGAATACGGACCGCCATTCTCAGCGCTGCTTAACTGGAAGAGACTGAAGAGGAGGACATGTGCATCATCCGAAATATACGACCCGCTAGCCCGCGTCTGCCGAAAAGTATACGTATAGTCAGTTGTGGAAATGATTTCTTCCTTTGTTCCCTGAAATTAACATTCATACATAAGCTAATGCTGACTAACACGGCTACATCAAAGTCACTTAGCCTATAAGGCACAGTTCACACTAAATATTTTTCTTACTGGCTTTACAGCCCCCTTGGGCCATGGCCTCTGATTTTCAATTTCATGATGATTTTACAGATGGTAGGACTCCTTGGACTAGTGATCAGCTCGTCGCAAGGCCTCTACCTAAACACAGGACAACACTAACAGAATAAACACATACACATACCAAACAACCATGCCTTGTGTGGGATTTGAAACCACGATCCCGTCTTCCGAGCGAGCGATGACAGCGCATGCCTTAGACCGCTCGGCTACGGTGACCGGCTAAACATAATTATTCCTAATTAATGTAAGCAAGAATCAGATATTGTTAGCGACTATATAGAATTGTTACTGCTTCAAATGCACTGCATTTCCATGTGATTATGAACAAGGGCGTACACCGCCAGGACTACACACACAGTTACTGCTATCATATTGCGAACTTTTCAGGATCTAGTAATCGGGTATGAATGTTTCGGAGGAACATGCTTATGTCCTGAATACACAGGCAGCATGATGCTTACACTTCGGAGCCTCTTTATCGTCCAGTCATAATTCGACTTCAGAGCACTTATCGTGCTGCAACATGAAGTCCATTAATTCCCCTTTGCAACAGTTTACAAACTGTTCCCACAAGTATAATTTGTATATTTTAGGAAATGACAACAGTACTGGAGACAACACAATTTTTGTGGTCAAATGTACCTACACATGAAATTAAGCTCAGTTGGATCTATTACACTTAAAACAAAGCCTTCTCTAAAGAGTCGATGTCTTCTCTTATCTTTACACATAAGGACTATTAACATCGAACTATACCATTCTAATGCCACAGCTATGGCACACACCTGACGAGCTGCAAAGGTAATTCTTGTGTGTTTTAAAAATACTGTGCTAATATCACCAGCTCTGTGCATATGCCAATATCTTCAGGGTCTTCTGCGAGACGCAATTAGCAAAAACATGCAATATTACTCCGGATATGAGTGGCCCAGACATTTTAAAACATAAATCGCTACAGGACTCCTATGGTGCATCCAGTTTATCTGTTTTGTAAGGAACTGAAGCGCGCTTTATTTGTGCTTACCGATAACAGAAGGTACAGGGCTACTAAAAATGATTAATTCGTTTTTAAAACGCTATATTTTCCAAAGTATTACACCTACAAATATGATTGATATATAAAAAGAACCGTAATCTCACCAAGTTTGTATTGTGTGCACCAGTTGGCTGCACGAGTTCAGTGCCTTTACAAAATGGCGACAAAGCAAGAAAAGAGTTTTTGTTTGTTGGAATATTCGAGATGTTCGTCTGTTATAGCGGTGCAACGCGCATTCAAAAGAGAGTACGGAAAAGAACCGCCATGTAAACAAAGCATTTTGCGATGGTATCAGCAATGTTCGTCGCTACCTAAACAATGAACTTCGGCATCGCTGGATTGGGGGTGTTGGTGAGGATGACGTAGCTCTGTTCACTTGGCGCCCCAGATCACCTGATCTAACGCCTTGTGACTTCTTCCTTTGGGGGTACATTAAGAATCGTGTTTACGTTCCCTCCACTAGTAGAGCTGAGGGAACGCATCGATGCTGCAGTGATGACCATTGACAGGATGATGCTACAAAATGTGTGGAACGAGCTCGACTACCGCCTGGACGTGTGTCGTGTGACCCAAGGGGCACACATAGAACATTTGTAGAGTGTGAAGAAAACTTGGTGAGTTTACGGTTCTTTTATATATCAATCATATTTGTACGTATAATGCTTTGGAAAATATAGCGCTTTAAAAACGAATGAATCATTTATAGTAGCCCTGTATTTCGATGACAGTGACACGCATCCCAGAATCAATAACATTCTCTTCCATAAACAGGCATTAACTGAAAATCTGCTGCAGGGCGAACTTTCCTCTAAGATATCTTCGCATCGAGCTGCCCTGAATCATGTTAATGTAATCAGAATTGTACTGACGCAACTATTTTATTAGATACGCGACGCACCTACAAAACAGAAATAACGGTCACTAGGGACACAAACAATTTACTAAGTATCATCACTGTGTACCAACTCAGGAGCGTTCATAGTCGTTGCCTCTAGATTTTCAATTAGTGTCCTCACGAATGCCAACTTCTGATGTCCTATAAATAATCTAAAACACGCGGGGCAGACGAGACACACAAAACTTGATCAACGTCAGTCCAGCGATTCTCGAGTAAGGAAATGCACAGCACAAAAGCTCCTTCCCATCAATTATCTCGAAAACCTACGCCTTGCAGAAAAGTGTGAATCGTTTCTCTCGACAACTTCAGTTGGAAACACTCCTCGCCTGAATAAGTATCTAGCGAGTTAAGCCCAATATGCATCTTCTAACGCGCATAGCGTCCGTCACTGCTGACCAGTCTGGTATGGGTTGACAAATTTGAGCAAAGCTAGCCAATGTCACATTTCATGAAAATCCGCTGAACGGTTCTTGGGATGTTACATGAGGGCAGACAGGCGGAGAGATATGACGTACCTAACCGGTCCTTCTTTTTCAACTTGTCATCGCAAGATCGCCAAATACAAACAAACCACGCCCCGCTTTGGTGTTATCTAAATGAAAATCTCTTTCGTCTGCATTAACGCAGCCCCTGTAAGGCAATTCTAGCATCGAATCCTTAAACAAAAGGTGAAGCGCACAAAATATACACTAATGGGCGCATCGAATACTGCCCATACAGGCGTAACTCTGAAAATTAATTACGTACACATTCATGAACATCAATAATTCCATTTCAAGCCATAATTTACTTATTCGTCGATAAAAACATAACATATAAGGAAATGTACATATTATTAATATACTGATGTAAGAGTTCAATATAATCAGAAAATAAACGTTTCAAGAAGCACTGTGTCCATTCACTGCACTAAACAACTGATTCCTCTCCCTTTACATCTGTGTCGAACGGTGCTCCACTTCATTTATGATATGCCTGCTATTGACAACCATCTCCCCTGACAATGTTAGGTCTTCGGTAAGACTTAATATCGAAATAATTTCATAGTCGTGCTTGTAAAAAGGGCTATTCAGTCTATAATACTCTCATTCACAAATCCCATAATCATACGCGCTTCTAGAATCCACACTGCATGGACCATCTTTTTCAAGATGCTACGGACAAAATTAGGATCTAAGTCAGACGAAGTATCGGGAAAATGCATAATTCGGAGTTCCATAATTTATACGCCTCAGCAATTAATAAAACCAACAGGGATGCCCTCTGAGAGATATATCACGCACTGGAGAGATAAAGAAATGCATACAGAATTTCAGCTGGGAAACCTGAACGGAAGAGACAACTCCAGACATTGAAGCGAGAGGATAATACTAACATGATTCTTAAACAAATACGGTATGAGGGTGCGGACAGGATTCATCTAGATTCCTAGGTTCCAGTGGCTTCCACTTGTGAATACGGTAATGAACCTTCGGATTCCAACACAAGAGGGATGCCATTTCTTGACAAGTTAGGCGACTATCACTTTCTCAAGAAAGTGCGTCACAGCGCAAACCATGAATTATTTTCTTTTATTCCTAGTGGGGTGGGACTAAGTCCCTTGTACTGCGGCCACTTCTGGCCTATTGTACCAGCCACAGATGATAGGTGAGGGTGATTGTGGAGCAATTGGTGGAATTAAGATTGGCAGGGGAAACCGAAGTACTCGGAGAAAACCTGCCCTAGCGCCACTTTGTTCACCACAAATCCCACTTGACCAGACCCGGGATCGAACACGGGCCGCCGCGGTGGGAAGGCAGCGACTAACCGCTTGAGATATGGCGCGGCCCAACCATGAACTACATCTCAGGTATAAATGGAATAAATACGTGTACGTATATGAAACCGCTCAAATTGGCTCAAACGGTTACGCTATTGATTTGTATTCGAGAGGTACCCGCTTCGAATTTCGGACAGTACATCGCTATCTTGATGCATTTGTACTAACCTCCGGCCCTCCGAAGTTCAGATCGGAAGTATAAATGTAAACAACGGTCTCATTACTTACTTACTTATGGAGCTGAGCCCTTCTTGAGGAGCCGCCAAATCTACAGCTACTCAAGAGCTTCCCAGCATTTTATGGAACACGAAGGTTCATTACCGTGTTCACAAGAGCCCTTCACTGGTCTCTATGCTGAGCCAGACCGATCCAATCCATACCATCCCATCCTATATGTCTAAGATCCATTTTAATATTGTCAACCCTCCTACGCCTTGGTCTTCCCAGTGGTCTCTTTCCTTCTGGCTTTCCCACCAATATCCCATATGCATTCCTCTTCTCTCCCATTCGTGCTAGATGCCCTGTTCACCTCATCCTCCTTGACTTAAGGGTCTCATATGTAAATAAATTTGTTCACAGGCAAAACTGCAGAGGAGTTGAGAACACTGATATATGTTCTTGTGACCCTCAATGCGCACGGTATGGAGACTGCTGCCGCAGTTCCCAATACTTCGTGCCAGAAGAACAACGCCTGGGAGCCTCCCCCTTCAAGTGCACAACTCTTTTCGATACCACCATGTACATCATGACGGCGTGTCCTCCCGAATGGAAGGACCCTGACACCCGCAACCGTTGTGAGCACCCAAGCACAAGTTACAGCGACCCACTGCTTGACGCACCGGTGACAAGCACGAGCACCAACATCACGTACCGCAACTGGCACTGCGCATATTGTCACCGTGATCTGGACGCTAACACTACGGTTATATGGGATGCTGAATTTACATGTCACGATTTTGTGCCTGAATATGTATCTGACGAAACTCTAGCAGAACAGCTATCCTACAACCCTCTAACTTCACGGTGGTGTCTGAATATAAGCAAATATTCTTTTGAAATGAAATCAGACTTCATAGCCGCAGGACCCTTGAAAGTTAGTAAAAGCAACAGCAATAGTGAAAAGCTATTGGACTGTGACATAACATTCAGAGACCCGAAAATGGTATTACAAGATCGCAGAGGGTGCAAATTTGGTATAATAAGCAGGTGTTCTAAACACTGGGAAGACACTGAGATGGAAAACCAATGTGAAGCATATACAGCTCGTATATATTAT